TAGCGATCAAGGCGGTGGTGCCAACAGTGCTCTGAGCGTCGGTGATATTGAGATCGATCTACTCCAATTGGACTTTGTGTACACTACCTATCGCATGGAACCCAATCTCACCGATCGTGTACGCCTTCCCAAACAACTCTATTTCCACACGTGGTGCCCTCGTCTCATACAAAAGAGCATTTCAGATGATGCTGGTACACTGGAACTGCTTCACAATGCGGACATTCCACGCAGGATGATCCTGTTCTTCACAGATTTGACTCATGGTACACAGCCAGCATTGGCTGGAGGTGAAGCATCGCATTCTTCGAACAGACTGGCCATGATTCATGCAAATCTCAGTCAACTTCGTGTCACTGTCAACGACCAGACGCTCTTTGACAACCCGCTCAAATTCCAGTGGGATGTGAGTCGTAATACTGAAGGGCAATACTTCTACGATTACAACAAATCCTCCTACCTGCGTGGCTACAATCTGGTTCAAGACTTTTTCGGCAAGACGTATGGAACGCAAATCCCCATCACCGCTGCAGATTACTGCAATCACTACTTTATGGTGCCTATCAACTTGAATCTGGATCGGACCACAGACAATCCAAGATCGAGAGGAAATCTGTCCATCGACTATCAATTTAGCGACGTGACAAACGCCCCCGTGAGGAGACCTAGCGAAAATGGCGCCTCGATCAAAGTCAACCTTCTCTGCATGGACAAGTACTTGTACACCATGAGCAAAGATGAAGGTATCAAAGCCGAAGTTGTATGAATTAATTCCGACCTAGTAGTAAAAGGGCATCATGGAAGGTGGTGACCTGGAGACCAGACATCGTGTCTACGGTGGTGATTTGAAAACATCGAGTCGACAACACGGTGGATTCTTCTGGAAAAAGAGCTTCTGGAAAAACCTAATCGGTGCTGGACCGGATGAGATGGAAAAGCAGATGGCGGAACCCACGACAAAACAAGATGCAATGCAACGCGGTGGACTTGGACCCCTGGCTGCCATGGCAGGAATGACACTTCTTCCCATGCTTTTGGGGAGAGGAGAGTCCGGAGACATTGTGGAAGCGCAAATGAAAACAGCTTACAACCCTGCCATGCACCGAGGAGGTCTAGCCATTCCACCAGGATTAGCCGCCAAGGCCATACCACTCCTGACGAATCTGGCTGCTCCCTTGGTCATGGGTACCATGGCATCACTGGGTGACAACGTAATGGATAAAATATTCGGCAGAGGAGTAAGGAAGGGAAGCTCAGCAGGTGCCATGAAGCGCACTAAAAGTCGTCGTCGTCGGCATGCACCGAAGAAGATTCGTCAACGAGCATCTCGAAAAACCAAGAAGCCAGCTCGTCAAGTTCGCTCCAAAGGCCGCAGGGCACGAGGAATAAAGAAACAAGGAAGGGCCTTGTTCAAAAAACTAGGACATCGTGCCCTCGACGAAGCTTCATCGTTCCTGTCTGCACCTCGTAGATCCCTAACCCGTCCTGAAACTCCATTTGCTCAAAAAATTCGACAGAACATTAACAGTGCAGGACCGTCTTCTATGAGTTCCGCTCACATCGGTCCATCCTACAACATCTGATCATGGACTTTATCTCGCTCCTTGGACAGGAAATCGGGAGGAAGAAAAAGACTAGTCCCGTAAGGAACGACGATGTTCCGACCACGGCCACTGCTCGACACGGGCTGCACATTCCTGGTCTTCAGTTCGAGTCTAAGGATTGGTTCACGGAAATCATTCCTGCTCTGAAATCCTGGGGTCAAAACGTATTGTTTCTGGGACAGAGCAACATGGGTAAATCCTACTTTCTCATCAAGCTCCTGAAACGCGTGCAACCTGAGCGTATAGTTGTCATCTCCAACACGCCGGCCGATCAGTATCGTCTCCCAAGCCTCAAATCCTTCAAGCATTACAGCACCATGCCCGAGTGTATCGAAGACATGGATCTCCAGCCTAACACCTATGTGATCATTGATGACATCAGAGTGATGGGTTTGAAGCACGGCAGCCAAAGAGAGTGTCTCTACAAGTTCTTCACCATGTACAGTCATCATCATAAGTTGAACGTGTTCTTTCTCTCTCAGAGCTTTGATAACATTAAGGACATGAAGATCAATGCAAACTTTATGTATCTATTTCGCTTCACTGATAAAAGCAATATCAAGCGTTATCTCAATACTCTGTTTGGTGGTCTGTGCACGAAGTCATCCATTATCTTTAGATTGTATGAGAAGTTATTGGCGGTGTGTCGCAGACCTATCCTAACCATTGATTGCTCTTCTAATCAGTACTACACGTATTGCGAAGACACTGCATTAAAGGTGACTTTTGAATAAAAACCTCGTTGATGTGCGTGTTTAGCCGAAAAGTTAGCCGAAAAGTTAGCCGAAAAGTTAGCCGAAAAGTTAGCCGAAAAGTTAGCCGAAAAGTTAGCCGAAACATTGAAAAAAAAAATTCCAATAATGAATAAGAATGGAGCATCTTACGGTGAAATTCTCAAATGGGCTACCGAGCAGTATACAGAGGGTGGGGTCCAGAAAGGGATCCTTCTCGATACCCAAGCGTAAAAGGTTGCAAACCTTGCAGTTTATGTCGAAACATCCTCAACACATCCTCAAGAAGAGAGTAAATTCGTGGGAAGTTCTCGGTATACCACCACTCATGCGGCAAAAAGGAGGTAATAACTACAATACCTACTTGAAAAGCGTCAAGAAAGTTCTTTCCCAAGTGCCAGATCACAGTTTGAGCACCTCCACCCTGTTGGAACTGCAAGCTGATCCGCGAGTAAAGCGTCTATATGACACCCACTTCAAAAACAATCCCGATCACATCAGTTACCCGTCTGTGAGAAATGTGATTGCATCCAACATACTCAACTATGATTCCACTACCGATCAAGTTCGCGATTCCGTTGCAGATGTCAGGAAGAAGAGAAAGGCACCTTTAACATCAGTGCCTTTCAATCTATTACAAGACCACGAATTTGACCGATGGATCCTACAAATCCTGGACAGTTTCCTCCGACATACAAATATACCGGCAACCTTTTTGAAGAGCAACTATTTCACAAGCCGATCACAACTGCTGCAACTCTACGATGAAGATCGACTGAGGTTCAGGAGTCGGGTGGAAGCGGCTGCGGATGCCCTGAAGACGCAGACGATGAACGACTACACTACTCTGGTCAACGAGACGAATCGCATCTACATGTCCAGGTACCCGTTTGCAACCATAGCGGGTGCGGTGGGAATCCACAAACATGTCGATGGATTCCTTCGATCAGAACGAAAGATTCATGAACTAGCCACCCTAGTGCTAGCTGTACCAGGATCGCAGCTCAAGTTTCAAGATCTCAACGATATGACTTCTACGTATGGTAGAACAACTGAAGCAAAATTGATCCATCCCGAGCATTTCATGATCAGAGCACAAAAGGTGATGGTGGACGATGCATCATTCATTCAAGAGGTTCTGAAGGATAAAAGCAGGATCACTCGTATCATCAAGGATATCCTGAGTGGACGTTCAATGTGATCACGCGCGCGCGAAAATTTTCAGGCTATGATCAAGAATGGACTACCCTCTCAGCAGTGCCGACATCAAAGGAAGATTGAATGGTGTTGGAGGGTTCGTGGGGTGTACAAGTTACGACCTCTTACCACCCTTGAACAATGGAGACTTTTGTATCGTCAACACCGACAACGTTCTACCGGTGTACGATGCACCGGAAGGTGGACATCATTGGTTGACCGTGTGTCGCGAGCAAAACGTGATCCTGGTTTTTGACAGTTTCGGACGCAGTCTATACACTATGGAGCAAGATTACACTGAACCTGCACTGTGCGATTTCTTTAAAGAAGCCTATGCAGACTGTAAGATCATCACCAACACCCAAGCCGTTCAAGACAGAAGCACAGCAGTATGTGGATGGTATGCCATATTGATGGGAAAGCTATTTTCCAAATATGGTCTGGATGAAGCACTTCGAATTTTCCGAAGAGTCTTCGATGAGGATGAAAAGCTGGAAAACGATCAACTGGTTCTCAGTTTAGGTGCCTTGCGAGGTGGTGGAGCCTTGTGGGATACGAAAGTGCAAAAAGCACTTCATGATGGAAGACAGAAGAAGAAGTCGCAGTCCACACCATTCCACACGCAACTGGCTAACGAATTGCACAAACCCAGACGAGTGCATTTCAAAAGACGCAAGGTGAAGAGCAGGTCTGTGGATCACATCTGGAGTGCCGATCTAGTGGATATGCAACGGTTTGCCCGAAGCAACAAGAACTACAAATTCCTGCTGACCGTCATCGATCTGTACAGTCGCTATGCCTGGGCAGTACCCCTGAAAACCAAAACTGGCTCTGCTGTCAGGGATGCATTCGACCTGATCCTGAAATCATCGAACAGGGTACCACAAAAACTATGGGTAGACGAAGGCAAGGAGTTCTACAATGCAACAATGAAGCAATGGGTCAAGGATCACAACATCATCATGTACAGCACCCACAACGAAGGAAAAGCCGTGGTGGTGGAACGCTTCAATAGAACACTGAAAGGCAGAATGTGGCGCCATTTCACGGAGAAAGCTACGACACAGTATCTTGACGTCCTTCCTCAGCTTATGGCCAAGTACAACAGCTCGAAACATCGCAGTATCGGCATGAGTCCCACGAAAGCTTCTCTTGATGGAAAACCAAAAGATGCAGACGTACACTCGAAGCAATCACCAGCTAAATTCAAAGTGGGCGATGATGTGCGTTTGGCTGTGGCTAAACGTCATTTCGAGAAAGGGTACACGCCCAACTGGACAGAGGAAGTGTTCGTGGTAAACGATGTCCTACCCACTGTACCCCACACCTATCGTGTTCAAGACCTGATGGGAGAAGTCATTCAAGGACAGTTCTATGGAGCTGAGCTACAACATGCCAGACACACAGGATTGAGATTCGATAAGGTGTTGAAATACAACAAGAACAGTCGGCTCGTCAAATGGAAGGGTTATCAAGACGAAAAATTCCATACCTGGTTAACAAAGAAGGATGTGAATGATCTCAAAAAGTATTAGCATTTCATATGTACAATGTAGCTCATGCTTTGGATTAACGTGAATATTATGAATCGCATAGTATTTACAATGTATTTCATGAGAAGATATGACATATGCTCTAGTATGTGTGGAAATCCCTCAGTGCTTTGGAATATCCTTGTGTCCGAATGCCAGGGTGTTGATACCATCCTCCAGAATGTAACGCTTACTGTCGAATCCACAGAGGGCAATCTTGTGTAGCTCCTCTCCGTGAATGCAATGTCGTCGACTTCGAAGAACATTCATTGTTCTCTTCAGCTGAGACTCCTCGACGAGACATGTTCGATAATCATCGACGGTTATGGTGTTTTTCAACACGCTTCTCTGCACACCTTTGGCACGCTTGCCATTGTCGTCGTTGTCTTCACAGCGGTATGCGTACATCTTGCTCCGCAAACCAATGAACTCCTTGATGGGTTTGCCACCTAGTTCGTCCTTGAACTTCCCTACCACCTTCTTGTTGACCGTGCTGTACAGGTGGTGGGATGGTGAATAGTTGGATGTGTCATAGGCTGTTATGTTGTTTGACATATCGGTGTACAGATCATCCGTTTGAATATGTACGATCAGACTATCAGTATCAGTGTAGAGCAAACGTACATTTTGTCCATAGCGGGGTAGGAGAACTTCATAGTAAAAGGAATACATCAAGTGCTTCGACAGATCGAGGATGGCTGTACCCACATAAATGGGTTTATTGAGAGTCACCTTTGTCTTGGCAAACTCGATTGCTATCAGATCGTTCTCAAAGGCTACACTGCGGATGTACGAAGGTTTGTTGATGCTTTTCTGGAGACGTGGTTTTTCATCCTGTTCACGAATGAGCTTGATGTTTACTCTGTTTCGAACGTTTTCCATGGTCTTGCCATATACAGCATTGTTCATCAACTACGATAAACAGGCATACAAAAAAAAAAAAAAAAAAGCCAAGAAAAACAACAATAAGAAAACTGTTATCTTCAGGTCATTCACACTTCCAGTACATACTAGATCCCACACTATCGCTAAATACACACACACACACACACACACACACATGATGTGGAGTACCCACCTTATAGAAGTCTTTCTCGAAATCAGAAGTTGATAGCTTTCTCAGGTCAGTATTAGTGTCGATGTATGGCTTCATCCATGGGTGTTGTGTGAAGGAGAGCACACGATGTACATCTGTAATCTCCACACCCAAGGACACATACTGCTGCAAGTTTCTGTAGTGCAGAACATAGTGCTCTTTCACCAGTAGATTTGGTACCAGTTTCTTCGCTTCCAAACCGGTCACCTACAAGAGTACAGTATAGATATACACAAACCTTAGAAGATTAATACAAGCATATCCACCAGATAGACCATGACTTACCATTAGTTTCTCTGCCATGTGGGTCTGATATGGAGAAAGCATATCTCGTGTCACCTTCATCTTCTCAGGAGCCAACGGATAGTCATTCATCATGTCATGCACACCATCTGGAATCCTTAAATCGCACTCCACCATGTATCCCGTCGAAGAGTCCATTGGATGATCGAGTACCGTCTCCAGAAGATCATCCGTCACTGCTTCAAAGCAGAAGTCCGACACGGGCAAGGGTTGAGACATGGCCCATCCATATAGATTGTTCGCATCTAAATATTGGATGAAGCTTGTCGGCTCGTCTGGATTGTACTCCGATAGATATCTGTTGTTGGCGGTGGCATGTCTAGCGGACACCATGCTTATGCCACCTCTTTTGCCATGCTCAATGAAGTTGAACATGTCAATGTCGGAAATGAGATGAAGGGACACCTTCGTCATTTTCAGCAGCGAATCCCAGGCAAATCCCGGTAAGGTGAGGTAATTAGCGGGATCCAATCCATAGGTTGCGTGAGCAGTTCTTCTGAAGTTTTCGAAAACGTCAGCCAACAGCAGCACATCAGTCTCCAGGTAGAGGTCGTGATAGTCTCCTAGATCTTCACAGTCAAACGCAGTCCATACTGTTTGCGCATAGGCATAGTCTTCATCACTGATACCCTAGGGAATAGAAAATGTACACCAAAAAGAAAAACAAATCAACGAACTTATTTTAGTAGTTCGCCCACACAATCAATTATTTAGTATGAAGCTGCAGGAAGCGTTCAAACACATTTTGTCTTATTTTAGTACTTCGAATTAAGATGGTGAAAAAAGAAAGAGAGAAAGATCTACTATATCTGTCACACTACTCACCATGTTCGTTAGCGTTGAGTGGAATGCATCCTTGGGTGGTAGACGCGTTTCTTCGAATTGGTCGTACGACCCCATATATTCATACGGGTAGACACCCTTTCGTGTCAACAGTTTGCGTTCATCCTCGTCTGGAAATCGTGCGGATAGAAGGGCGAATGCATCTGGTGGTGTAGCCGAAACCAACCGGTCTAGGGAGGTGTTCAAGAATGCCAGGCTGTCGATGAACTGGAACTGTCTCCATCCGAATGTGACATATTTTTCACTGTTGATGGGAACCACTTTGATAGCACCGAGACGCTTGGTCTGAGAAGAAGAAAGAAAAAGAGGAGACACAGTTTTAAGGTGCAGCTGTAAAGATGAATATCAATCATATAAACGTGAATATGAGTACCACCATAGTAATGATCTTCCTTCTTAGAAAAACATCATGATCCACGCACACGCACACACACACACACACACACACACACACACACACACACACACACACCACGCATATGTAACGTACCCGTTCTTGTCCTTTCTCGTTCACATACGTAATCTCATCAGTGGATGTTCTCCCAATGGCAGATATGATGTGATGAGAATCGTATCCCTTCAAGTTATGAAAGATCACAGGAATCTTGATCTTGAACGGCTCAATCCGCATGTTCAGGTTACAATGGTTGTGTGCTGCACCACGGTAAGCACCGGTGATGTGACAGTGGTCACGTACACGATCGCTACCCAACGCTTCACCACAGATCCAACAGGAGACTACCGTTTCAAATTCACGTTGTTGACTTTCTGAAATGATCATTTGACCAGCATTACATGCTAGAAGCTCATCACGGATAATCTCCTCCTCTTGCTCAAGTGACAGCAGAAAACAGAACATAGAATCTTCTCCACGGTAGAAGAAACGGTTCGTGACGACGCCATCAGATCGTACTACAATGTACGAACAGGAACAGGCTACATGCTTGTTCTTTTGGAATGTCGAATGACCGATTTTCTTGACAGCGGACAGAGGTTCTATGAAGGCCTCACAATCGGCATAGATCACCTGCATTTGAGAGAGAGAGAGAGAGAGAGAGAGAGAGAGAGAGAGAGAGAGAGAAGTAGGAATAGCAGCAGGGACAACACCGAGTAAAACAGCGGAAAAGATAGATAGAGAATTAGGAATAGCTGCAGAGACAACACCGAGTAAAACAGCAGAAAGGTGAACAATCAGAGTCAAGAAACATGTGCAGGAAAGAAAAGAAAAGAAAAAGAAAAAAAAAAAAAAAAAAAAAAAAAAAAAAAAAAAAAACAGACCACAGTGTGTTCACCTTGATTAAGTGTTCTACTTACAAATGGGGCTTGAAGCTGCTTGTTCACATTCCTGAACATCACTCTATCACCAGCCTTTGGCATCTCCACCGTAGCTTCAGGATGTTCACTGCAGTACATCATATGATTATTCAATCCCTTCTCCGTGACGTGTGTTGAGAGACATCTGAAGCAGACAAAATGTGCTCGACGTGCTCCAGTAGCAACAAGACGACTGAATGACTTTATCCACACCCAGTGCTGCACCTCCACGTCATTGCGTTCGTCTTGGATGAGCAATACATTGATGGCGGTCTGCGGTTGCTGAGAAATTCTTAACGGATATATGACTTTCTCTTCATATCCGAAGACGTTGATGTAAAGACCGTCGTTCAGTCTTTCGATGACTGGTATGTCTTCCAGTTTTGCTGGAAACTCGATGCCGCTCACATCCACAGTATCCGCATGTTCTGCGTACGACGATTGACGATATGGATGAGACTTGTCTGCCGAAAATTTAGCAGCCAGTATTGACCATCTAAAGTACGGATGACATAAGACATGGACAGGCGGCATACAGTTCAATCCATACACCGTATCACCACACTGAAACCCCACTGCTATACTTACAGTAAACACTTGTTGTCAGTGTTCTGCACGTTAACAATGGCCTTCTTCGACTTCAACTCCGGTGGCAAGGGGATGTACGAACTTCCTCCAAGTACACAGTAGCGTGACATTTCGATGTGTAAACAGGAAATCCGTTCAACTACCCAACCTGATCCATGACGAACGAAATCATCAAGACGAGCGTTGATCTGAGCAATCATCCTACTGAGAAGGTCCCTCAGGTCCATGGTGTTGAGCACCAGCGTTGTACTCGATCGGAAGAAGAATGTGTTGGAAACCATTTGTCCTGTAGCAGGATTCAGCTTCTGCATCACCACCTGAACTACCAAAGAACACTTGTACTGACCCCATTGCTCAATATTCTCTTCAAGAAGCAGCTCCAGCGACGGTAGAACATGAGAGAAAAACTTTAGTACATCTGCAAACTCTTGATCAGGACAATAACTAAAGAATTGCAACAGATCAGATGATCTCACTACATCAAAAGACTGACGAGGTTTCTTCCGAAGGGGTTCCATCCTGAGCAGGGGTGGTGGCGGACAACCACACAATGGCTTGACAAGGTACCGAGGATCTATTTTTATAGGGTTTTCGTAATAGTTGAATTCGGAATAACTGGTTGTTTTTCAATTAACCAATCCACTCATCTCCCGCTGGAAACAATTAACCACTTACCGCACTTCCCGCTGAAAACATGTGACCAATTAGCGCACTTCCCGCTGAAATCACGTTCATCCTTTTATCGCGCATTGACCCATGTTCCACACTTCACAGTGAAATCAGTGCTGCAATGATGTACTGTGACGTCAATGCATGGATGCCTGATCTGTGCATCTGAGGTCAAGATGAATCCGGTATTCCAGCAGCTAAAAGTTCGAGAAAGAATTGTTGTATGTCGAAAAGAATTATACGAGAGGAAAGCTAGAAAAATTCTACACCTCATGGACCTTTCGATTACGGACATAGATGGAAAACTAATTGACTTATGTCAATGGAAAGATTCCAAACCCGAACCAAAAAAGACACGGCATGTCGCGAGCAACGTTTTGGTTTTTGGCGCGCACCGTGTTCACCGTGTTCTCCAAGGTCGTCACCTTCCCGGAGGCGGGACCCGGCGGGACGGGACTTGGCGGGACCTATAAAACCTGATATAATTTCATTTTTGGTTCACAATTCATTTTTGAGTCCATTGGATGATCGAGTACCGTCTCCAGAATTTCTCTCTCTACCAGATCAAAGATGTCGGCCTGGTCAACCTCCGAACCGTATGTAGAGAAGTTTTATTTATTTTCTTGTAGTAATAAAGATGAATTAACCGTTCGGTTACTCACCGATCTGGGTACAGCTTACGAGCTAAGACCCATGCTTCTTCACCCGGATCGAGCGGACATGACTCCCATGGAGATTGCACAGTATCTGTGCAGGGTGTCGACGCGCGTTCTCGTGAGCGGTGAGAAACACCAGCGTCTACCGAAGATCGTTGTTGATGGTGTAGAGGATTATGGATCATCATCATGGCGAGATACGGGCAGACTGCTCCGCTGCTGGGACGACGGGCGAAGATCGATGTACAACGTGATGAAGGCTGCAGGTGTTCTGGATATTGTCGAAGAGACGTTTGCAAATGGAGAGCAGATCGAAGCTCAGGAACTCATCCGTGTCATCAAGGATCTCAATGATCGCAAGGTCTTTCGAAAAGACGGGGATACACAAGCGACGACGAAATCTGTCCGCCTCTCAGTGATGTCGACGAGGATAACCCGTGTTGTTGCGCGTGTCGGCACGATCGACATCGACGAAGAAGGATATCCTAAGAAGATGCCGGAAGTCTCGTGTGATTATGTAGTAAGCCGGAAGCGCAAGGCCGATGATGACCTGGATGAATCAATTGTGACGATTCAGGCTTCGAACACAGCTCCAATCATCGAAGTTTCCAGGAAGCGCTCCTGGGTAGTACCTTCTCAAGATATCTTTGATTGCTAGACTCTCTCTCTCTCTCTCTCTCTCTCTCTCTCTCTCTCTCTCTCTCTCTCTCTCTCTCTCTCATTCTCTCTCTCTCTCTCTCTCTCTCTCTCTTCCTACCAGGCGTGAGCCATCCCCTGGGTGAACAAAATGGGTGCTATCTTCTCTCTCTCTCTCTCTCTCTCTCTCTCTCTCTCTCTCTCTCTCTCTCTTCCTACCAGGCGTGAGCCATCCCCTGGGTGAACAAAATGGGTGCTATCTTCTCTCTCTCTCTCTCTCTCTCTCTCTCTCTCTCTCTCTCTCTCTCTCTTCCTACCAGGCGTGAGCCATCCCCTGGGTGAAAATGATCCGAAAAATTGAAATTACAAGTCAAAATACTGCAAAACTATGAGTTCTGATTAATATAAAATTGGAAAAAGTGAGATAACATTGACATTTGAAATAGTAATATTTTAGACATCGGAATGCAATATTATGATGTAGGGCTGGACATATTACCCACCCCTAAAAATCAAAATTAATGATACATGCAGAATTCCAAATCATGACACCATATTACCTTATTGTTTAGGGTAGAGCATAACACCCCAATACATATTTTCAATAATACCCCTTTTTTTGAGGTAGGGGCACCCCCTGGCACATATTTTTATCCGCAAAAAAACCGGGCCAAAAATAATTTTCATCGCAAAAATGGGGTACTATTAGTACCCCATTTTTCAATAATACCCCATTTTTTGGGACCAGGGCGCCCCCTGGCACAGAACCCGCTCGTCGCTTCCTACTGGCGCGCCGTGTTCAGCAGCGGAACTTGGCAGAGGAGATCCGATCCGGCCTCCCGCCCACGCAACGGCTACTGGTAGAGGTCGCAGGTGAAGATGGCGTCTCAAGTTGGTTGACGACTCCACCTGCGACTACAATGCCTGGGACCGTTTTCAGCAGGACGGATTTCCGTGATGCTGTGGGCCTACGATATGGCCTTCCCTTGGAAGGTTTGCCAGCATCATGCGTGTGTGGCAAAGACATGACAAGCCACCACGCTATGACATGCCCCTGTGGCGGGTACCCAACGCAACGTCACAACGAGGTTCGGGACCTGCTGGCTAGTGCCATGTCCGAGGTGGCGTATGATGTCGAGTTGGAGCCTGTTCTGCTGCCTCTCGATGGTGAGACGGTCTCAGGTATTAGAGCTGATGCCGCTCGTGCAGACATACGGGCTCGCGGTTTCTGGACGCGACAGCAAAACGCCTTCTTTGATGTTCGGGTTACCCACCCAAGGCCGTCTTTGCTGTCGCGTTCGGGAGTAGCGAGCCAGTTGTCTGACAACGAGAGGCAGAAGAAGCGCCAGTACTCGAGCCGGATCAACAACGTCGACCGCGGTTCGTTCACGCCGTTGGTTTTCGCCACCAATGGGCAGTGTGCGCCGGAGGCGTCAATATTCCTGAAGTCGTTAGCAGCTCAAATCAGTGAGAGGAACCGTGATCTCCCCTACTCACTGATCATGCGCCAGCTTCGTGCCCGGATCAGTGTGTGCCTGATTCGCTGGCAAATAACTTGTCTGCGGGGGTCACGACACTCGTACCGCCGAAGGCTCATGGGTGCTGGTCATGGCGGTTTTGTGGTGGAGTGTAGGGCCCGTGCCCACCTGGCTGTTTAGCATGCCTGACCTAACTGTTTCATGATATTGTCTGTATTTTTGTTGTAGCAATTTTGCTATTATATGTTGGTCATGATTTGATGGTTGACTTGCCCGTTTTCTTTGTGTACCTTATCTGGTTTTCTCTTGTCTGGGTTGTTGGATGAGTTGGGTAAACGGTGCTGCTTTGATTGTGTTTGCGGATGCGGGTTTACTCTTTGTTTTGGTATTCGATAGTTGACTTGATTCTTTTATTTTATTTTCTTATTGGATTTTCCGATTTATTTGCCGGATTTGATTTTCCTATCTACGATATACTTGATTGGATTTGTCACCATTGCTTTCTTTGCTTCCGTTTTTTGAATTCTTCATTCCGGCACCCAGTTTGTTATCAAATAAAGTCAACGTTCTCAGTAGTAGTAGTAGTAGAATTTATTACAGTTTTGATAGGGAAGGCCCTACAGACGTTGCCGTCTTGTTACAGGGAACCCTAAGTGCTCTTTACAGAGCGAAACAAAAACGGATAGATGCACTACCCGAAGTACTGAATTTACTTCTTTTGTACTCTATATTCTAATGTATCTTCTACCTCTTCTCCCCTACGAACATACTTTCTCATTTTCCATACTTATTAATTTTAGGAGACTCCCTTCGATAGGCATCTATTTGCCTCTGGAGGATCCGTGAAATATAAATCAATCAAAATCAATCAAAACAAGCGTGGAAAAAGCCCTGTATACAGTCACGGGTCATGTAGCACAACCTCATATCACTGTCATAACGATGTAGTGTCCCCTCAACTCTCTCAAGGGCCACGAGGCGCGGTAAGGCCTAACGGGGGGGGGGGGGGGCGAATCTGGAATCTTGCCCGCCCCGGTAAAACCTGAACCGCGACATCGACACCCAGGCCAGGGCCAGGGTCAGGCGGCTGAGGGACGGCCCCAGTGACGGGCTGAAGCCTGAAGCGGGCCCAGAGTCTCCTAGACATAGCCCGATTTTGCTAGCAATTCTGCTGGCAAAATATCGAAGAATTTTGACGAGAGAATTTGCTGGCAAAACGGAGCAAAATATCGGTATGTTCGCTGGAAAATGGGAAATGTTACACTTATACGGTGCATGTGACTCATTTTCGTACATTTTTGCCAACACGTGACTCATTTTTTCTCATTTTGCCAACACGTGACCCACTTTCGGTCAGTTTTCCTACACGTGACCCAAATTTAGCCTTGCATTGGAGCAAAAAGGGAGCAAAATATCGAGTGACCTGGCAAAATGAAAGCAAAATATCGACGATGAGCGAGCAAAAATTTGCGGCAAAATATCGAAGTTTCCCTGGCAAAATCGGGCTTTAACTTTGCCTAGGCGCCTCCAGACCTGCCACATGACGTAACACGTGACGTAGATCGCTGTATCCATCTCGAACTAACTAATTACTTACTTTCAATTCTTTCGCAAAATATTTTTTGGCGCTGAGTTTGAATCCTTCGTGATTCCATCGATCACACAATCTAGCAATGAAAATACTCAATCTGCGGACAGCATGCTGTTTCGTTCTTAAAAAGTATAGGTGGTGTACAGTGATCATCTTGTGGTAGATTTGTTTTCTCAGGGATAAGTGATACTCTTTCTCCAAGGTCGAATCATCCCTAGGTTTAGGATGTCCTCAAACCATTGAAAAGGTCCTACTAGAATTGATCAACATTTCTGCCATTACCTGTTGAAGGCAGAGCTAAGAAGATCGTAACTTTCCTCAACTTAGTTACTTTCCAGCTTTGTCAAATCACAACAATTATAATATCAGCTGCGTACAGTGGTTCGAAGGATGATGCAGCGGTCGCAAGGGTCCACCTTATCCCGTCAATGTGCCAATGCACCTCCCCCAGGACATCTACTGGCCGACGAGAAATGGAGAGGGCACGAGATATTGTCAAGTCTAAGAGGTGTGTGAAAGTATTTTAGCCACAACCGGCAGTTATTTATACAATCATGTAAACTAATTTTTAAACAATTTTGTTTCAACCACCAAACCATGGCTTACTCACCTAGACCTTCTGTTAAAAATGAAAATGTCGTTAGAGTCTGCCCTCAATCAACGCTCCGGCGGATTGGATGGCGGGTTGAACTCCCGTCAGCTCTCGCTCCGGCGAGTGTCTTTGTTCTCTAGGCAGGAACTAAGTTAGATGGTAGAGAGAGTACGGGCAGTAGGGGCTTCTGTTTCAATTTTCGGGCTACACTGGAAACGAGAACCTTCGTGCAGAGCTGGAACGTTCGATGTTCACTCCTTGAAAAGTCAAATATCTAAAATTGATCAACATATCCCTGCAAGAAGCAGAACAGTTGGGCAGCGATTGGAAAGTTTGGCTGGATATTGCAAACAGATGTACTGACTCTGCATGACTTTTAATTTTGATTTTACTGGATCTCAACCTTCCCATGTCCGCTGGATCTGTCCAGCTAGCCCCTACTACTAGCTGCTATCAATTATATGTGAGATTCGAATGTTTCACCGAACTTATTCCTGCAGACAGATGCGTTAACCCCATATGTTTCATTTGGGCGACATGCGAACTGTGTTTGTTATTGTTATTATTATTATTAAGTCTGCCCTCATCACCTTTAGGTGGCAGTTTTAAAAGTTTCAAAGTGTATGTGCATGTGCGTTTATCTAGCACAAGTTGTTGTGTCTAACGTTACATAGCTTGTTGTATTTAAATTATTTAATAGTCATTCCGCCTTTTGAGAATGTCAATCCAGTCCAAGAAGCAAGGTACTCAGTCTGAGTAGAGACCAGTCAGCTGCATTGTGTTTTGAAAAGGAAACGAAAAAAAGAGTGCTTTGAAAGCTTCCCATGCACTCTTAAATCCCACTACAGTCATTTTCATATCAGACCCGTTTCCCCAACAATCATACACAAAGTGATCTCTTTGCTACAAAGAAAAACTGCTTGGTGAGTGTTGCCAGCCTCGCGAAGGCACGGAGATCTGGTGAATGTTGTCGAAGTTCTGCAGCGAAGAGACCATTTGGTGGTTGAGTCATGAGAAGTTTTGAGCCGAATATTGCAACCTGGCGATGGCGATTTGCCGAAACGTTGTTGAAATTGATAGTGAGTTGTGAACTGGCAGTGCTGAGGGCACGTGCAAAGAGCATGTCTATGCAACATTTCTCATTGAGTTATGAAGCTTCAGAATGACTCACCCCTATTGCCTCAAACTACCATGATTTGGAAAGGGCCGTCAGCACCACTGGGTTGCACTGAATCATTGCATTTCACAAATTCATCAAGGAAGAAAGTATTCCACGTTTCGGTTAGGAAATAACCATCATCAGAATTGAAGTGGGCATGGGCAGACTTGAGTTAAAATGAGCATTACTGCGAGGAGATCATGATTCTCACATGCCCTATGGCGAAAAATCAAGATTTGTAGTTTTTTTGCCGTTGCTGGCCTTGTGGATTTGGGCATGTGTCATGAGGTAAGCGAACATTGTGCGACTGTGCGTTGTATCCAGGCCAGGTGTCTGTCATTCTTGATGCATCGCTCTCTCCTGTGGACTTCTACCCATCCGGCGGAGCTGCTGTCTTATACCTGACTGAAGCTGACCTTGTGGACTGTGAGAAGTGCGAGCAAAAGTTTACGCGGCTGCAAAAGGTTTGAGCAACTTCATGCTTCCATATGTCATACCGGCAAGCTGGTTTTCTCTGTCTGGTTGTGTGTTTTGGGGTGATCTGTGTGTGGTTATGGATGAGAGGGGAAGGAGGAGAGGGGTGGAGGTATAAAGTGCATGTGTACTGTTACATGCAGCCGTACGCACTTCATGTAGGTCATAGCATGTACTTGCCGGTGTATCGGAGTATGTGTACATGTAGTTGCGTGTTTCTCTAGCATTCGTACGTTTTATCCTCTTTCATTGACCGCTGCACAGATGGGTCTAAACGGCGTGGTGTTGGCAGAGCGCACAAGTCTCTCAGCTACCTACTTTGATCAGCTTCAGCAGCAGGCTGTCCTCAACTGTTCGCTGAATGTCGTTCCTGTTTCGTGTCCGGATGATGCTGGGCGCATTCTGGCGACAATGGTGAGATTCAGTCCCTACCTGTGTGTGTGTGTGTGTTGTTGAGTTGGGTTTTTCTCTCTAACCTACTATCCTGCTACTTTTCATTGGCCATGGTGTGGCAGTGTGTGGCTGGAAACATGCATATCCTCTTTTGACGAAGATTGTGCTTGTGTCCTGGTGTTGCGGCATTAGGTGCGGAAAGCAGCATCCCATAGCAAGGTCAACCCGCTGGAAGAATCAACAAATGACAAGGTGGCGTGGGACGACGCGTTGCTGAAGGGTCTATGCACTGTTCCTGGTCTTGGCCGTGTCAAAGCTAAGTCTCTCCTCGTCAAGTTCAGAAACTACAGTGCGCTATGTAAAGCGTCAAAGCAGGTATGTTCCACTGTGTTCCACTGTGTTCGGTCTAGTGCAAAAAAACTAGGTACCTAGGTTTGCGGAAGGAGGAGGCCGTGTGTGTGTGTGGGGGGGGGGGGGGGGGGTGGTACAAACTTGTTATTATTATTACACCTTCCAGTGGCTAAAGATGAATCAGTGCCAATATAGATGAGGAGGGGGCGTTTGCCAGCCATGGCGTAGAAAGAAAGTATAAGAAGTGTGGGTTACTTTCAAAGCTTTACTTTAATATGGTACTGTAATGTATTGATGCAGTTGCATGATTTTGAAAACTTCACTGTAGCTATATTGGTGCAGTTTCGTTGTGAGTTTTCAACAGTTATCCGCAGAGAGCATTATCGATGCCATGATGGTGTGTGCCTGTATGGCTGCTCTTTGGCAATGCCATGATGGTGTGTGCCTGTATGGCTGCTCTTTGTATGGTGTGTGACTGTATGGCTGCTCTTTGTATGGTGTGTGCCTGTATGGCTGCTCTTTGGGCACACTTGGTGTGCAGGACAATAGCGATGCTATAGCTGTCACCGTGTGGAATTTGACTTGTGTCCTGAAAAATTGTGCTCACTGCTTGCCGATCAGTTTACCTTTGCTTTTCGTTTCGTTCTCTTGTGCATTATTGCTTTTCTGGTCAGGATTTCACGCCTCTTGTAGGACAGAAGCTGGCATCAGCTGTATACAACTTCCTTCATGCGTAGCGTGTGGAGAATGCCGCAGATAGTAGTCAGTTTTACCATGTTGCGAATACCCGTGGTAAGACCTGATGCCCACGTTCATTGTCTGGTCTTTGAGTACCTTGTGAAACCGTTGACGGATTCTGTAAGCCCAGGCTCCCTAAATGCATGTATGACAGTTAGAGGCGATGCAGCAAGTGATTCTGTATGAGTTACTGACAGTAACTGTGTAGTATGCGTAACGGGCCACGAAAAAAAGTTAGATGCTGCTTAGTGTTTTTATTTATTTTTTTACTAGAGCCACGTAAAACCCGTCATGTGTGAGCCATGAATAAGGGGAGTGGTGGCGTGGTCTGGGGTGTCCTTCTGATGATAGAAGCTCGGAGTGATGTCATCGCACCTCAGACATCACAGCAAAGGTATGCCTAATTGGCGCTTTCCATGTACGGGTGGATAAACAATGGCTTTGGTGGCCAAGTGTGCCAAGTGTGAGAGTTGATGGAATTCAATCGTGTTTTAACATGTATGGCTTAAAGAGCACAGCCTTCTATAAATGGTTAGATAGTAAACCATAGCAGGCTTGTTGTCACTGTAACTGTGGCCTCCCTGAACAGATTGCAATGACTCTGCAACCCCACACATCATGGGAGACTGCCTGAGTTGATCACACAGATCTGTGCGAATCCCGTCGTCTCAGTGATGCACAGCATACAGGTATGCGTACATTGCTAAGCTATAATAATGGTGCTCATTCTTGCTGAAATCAAATATGCTTGCCAGTAGAGTCACTGTTAGAAATAGCACGGATTATTTGTATGATATCCTGGGAAATAATTGACTTGTCCTTGCTCCTCTGGGTAAAGTTAGATACTAAAAAAAAAAACTGAAACTTCAGGTCTGTGTAGCATAATGCCAGTCAACACGACTGTATATACTTGTATATAATATATCTGGTATTTTGACGAAATACACCTAGGGTAGCATACAATGTGTAGTATTCAACATGGGGTCGGAATTGCTAGCGTTGGATAGGAATGGAGAGAAACTTCGATGTGAATCCATAGCTTGAGAGTGAAGCCAGTTGATGGGCTGTTTGTGACAAAGTGAAGCGGTTCTATTGTTCGAGTCCAGCTTGCATTTTCCGTGCTTGGTTGAGAATGCGTTGGCGAGGTGTCTTTGGGATTTTCATGTCCTTCAGCTGCTTCTCAGTTAGTAGTGGTAGCTCAAGAATTCCGATGTTTCGCTTCTCAAATTTCTTTGCCAAGTGCTGGGGCGGATAACGTACAGAACCAAGCACATAATTTTTATTATTTGCCGTGAAGTCTTGACTATCAGACAAGAGGGTGGCTCATAGCAATAAAAAAAATCATCTTCGACTATGTACAGTTGGACTACCTATTATGTAGAAAATCTAATAATGAATGTATGTTTGCAGGGCAGTCGCTACAAGTCATAGTGATGTTGTATGTGTTCGTGGAATGCAGCACCTTGTATTAGGCTTAGCTAAAATTAATCTTGGACAGTGTCACTGTGTTGCATTTAGCATGGACTTACCTCACACTGAATGCTCTTCAAGACATTTCGGAGCAGTTGAGGCGGCTCCTGGCCAAAGAATCTGAGAGGAACAAGTAGTAATACAGGCAGGATACAGGAGTAACGAATCTATTTTTAATAAACAGTTGGGGATTAACGTGGTGTGGTCAAACTGGGGAGCATGTTCTCCTTTACTGTCCATGTCTCGAAAACAATTGATATGAAAGTGTGCAAAATTAAGGACTAGCTCAAGGTAATAGTTCGTACTACTTTCTTTACTTTGAGATATCAATACTTGCATTTGATCAGAGGGTAAATATGTTGGGGCAATTGTAGATTTCTGCACTCGCCCTTCTGTTTGGACACCACTGGTAAATGCGTTCACAAAAGCTAGGGAATGCTGAACTTGTCCAAACCCCATTTCATAGTTTGTGAATGTGCATGGTGCACCACATCAGAGGTCTTTTCACACACCGATAATGACGAGGTGGCTTACTTTTTGACTTTGACCAGACGGTTTGGCGATGTCCATGTCTCGGAGCTGACACTGGATGCGCTTGGGTCTCTGATTGCAGCACCAGCATGACTTGCTGTGTGCCGCTGGGGAGACAGAAAATCATCAGAGTCGACGTGCTGCGGAGTAATCGGGCCTTGAGTCTGCTCTGAGAACCTGATGGCCAGGTCGATGTTGCGCTCGTTGTAGCGCTGCGGCTGCTCAGGCGGCGACCTGACATCACTGACGTGCTGCAGCAGGTACTCGTCATCTGTATATTGCTGGTCGTGATGATCACAGCCTGCTGTATCCTCCTCACCGATCATGTCCGATAATGACAGGCTGTGCCTTCGATTGTCACCGAAGTTGAACTTCTATCCAGCCATACACAGTGTCAACAACACAACGAGCAACAGTGATTAGTACACGTGCGTTCACTTGTCTCCCTGAGCAAGCTAGGCAGCAGCAGCCTGAGCATATCCTTGGCCACACTACAGTGGAGCCTGGCACAGTCCGGGTTACACTGCATGACACCCTAACAGTTTAAATACTGGCATGATATCTCTAAGTGTTTCAGGTGCATGAAAGGATCAACTTGCGTAATGAATCTCCCATACCAACATTATGTTTGTATTTGTCGTGACCGTGACTCGCTGTAGTCTCTCGCTGCTAAACTGTTCATCTTGTGCAGGGGGGCTACTATGCTAGCCGTTATACTGCTTTCTATACAAGGCTGATATTTTCTCTACCAGTTGGAGCTTTAGAGGAACTTGAAAAGTGTCTTTGCCCCATTGCTCGAATTCTCTGCGTTCTGTTTTCAAGTGTTGAATTTTCCTTTCACCATTGCTTTATGAATTGGCTGTATAGTGTCCAATGCTGTACTGTGGCACACACTGTGCTGTTATCATTAACTGCATGCTTCCAGCGCATTACCTCTAGGTGTGAGAAGACGTGTCGGATATCTGTAAGCTCCTGAGACAGATCATACGAGTCGCCTAGCTGTTGGTCGTAATGCTCGCATGCATCGTCCTCCCTTGTTTCCACATTGCTGCAGTCATTGTGCTCGTAAGGTGGCTCTTCATCCACCTCACTGGTCTCTGGTTGTGTTGGCTCCATGCTGGTTTCATGCTGGCGTTCGTACAGTAGCGATTCTTCGGAGGTGGCTTTCTGCACCTGCTCGTTCACAGTGTGTGGTCGAGGTGAAGGTGTCTGTGAGCACAAGCTTGGTAACGACACGGCACTGCACAGGTTATCCTCATTGACAGTGGGCATAGCTAACCCGCTGCTGCCGCCCATGCAGTGGCGCACCATTTCTTCCGTGGAGAACGTGTTTGGTACACCGTCAGCCGGATCCTCTTCCTCCGCTGGCATGTCCAATATGGTGGCCGCCGGCATGTCCAATATGGTGGCACCACTGCCGCTGCCACTGCTCGTTTGCTCCTCTAGCCTGCTGACAAAGTATGCTGTATGTCTGGCGATGGATACTATCTGGCTCTGCAGTGCTTGGATCTGGTCTTCCATTTTCCTGAACCACGTGCACATACACATACATACACACACGCACGCGCGCGCACACACACACACACACACACACACACGCACACACACACAGCACTTCAGTACACACATGTTAAAGAGTTCTCGTTACTAGGTTTCAGCAGCACTTTATTGGAGCAGTTTGGTAACATATGCTGCCTACTGACATTCACTTTATCTGCACCAAAAATGTCTTCTGCCACACCATACTGTACAAGCAGAAATTTCATCGGTCAATAATTTCGTCCAACTCCAAAGATAGGGAGTTCGTCTGGTTGTATATTTCGTCCATGGATCATAAGAGTGTATTGAAAAGCTGGACAAACCGACATTAGTCCGTCATTTAATTTATTCCAGAAGCTCCTTGGACGAAAAAGACGAAATTAAAATCCAGACGAATATTTTTTCTGATCAGTAACTTGTGTTGAGTAGGCTGTCAGCATTACCTGCCCCTATTATACTACAGCAGGCCTACAGCAGGCCAGAATCATACAGTAGTACTGTCTGGTGCCGAAGAACAGATTTGTAGACCAACGCTGGCTGTTCCTTTCTTTCGTCTTCTGTATTTCCTCCAATATAAGTCGCACCTTTTTGCGATAGAGGGCAAAGGACAGGGGGTGCGACTTACAATCGAGTGTGACATCCTACTCGTATGTGAATAATATTGAAAAAGTATAGCTGAAACCTGAACATGGGGGTGCGACTTATAAGTTAATTGAGGAAATACGGTGCTATCATCCAGGTAAAGGAAGTTGAGTCACCTTGTACACATGGGTGTACATGTACTATATTATACTGTACTTGGTGAGATTCTGGCCTGTTCATTCTTCAGTGCACCATGTGCCCGGTAGCACGGTTACATCATCTATGCACAGCAGAAGTGGAATGCGTCGTTGGAACTCACCTCCGCTGAATTTTCTGCCTCCTGTCATTCCTGGCATCTGGAGAGCAACAGACGTTCCGCAGAGAACACCAGGAGGATTAGTGAGGTGCTCCAGCATAATATACTTTTAAAAGTCTTTAGCGTATGACCGTCTTCTTTTCTCTCAAAGTTGTACGTGTAGTGGCATGAGAACAAATACTATAGTAGAGGCGCGCCGAAGAATGTGGAGCCCAAGAACGTCCAGCCTGAAATGCTAAGAACGCCACAGCCTCAGATTAAGAACGGCGTTTTGATTTTCTGGTACCTCTGGGGATACATACATTGTACTTCGAAGTGTGATCCATTACGAATTGTTTCGAAGGCCGTGCTATAAGAACGCTGCAAGATTGCTAAAAGGTAGGAACATCCTAGGTTAATCCCTTGGAAACAACGCTCTTGGGCACGCCACTCTACTGTATATCCAGCTGGTGAGTGCAGTACAGATTTGTCACTAATGACACCTTACCCAGTATACTACTACACTGGTTCAAGTGCCGATAGGTTTGTTCCTCACTTACATTGCTTACATACATTCCTCAGGAGGAGCGTCTCAGTCTGAAGAGCTGAGCGTAGATGGTCTCGTTCAGCCACAATCGTCTCCATTGTCTTCTCTTGTTGACTCTCTATGGTTGCAATCTTCAATCAGAGCACAACACAGCAGTACAGTGAACACTGTTGACCGCGGAGTACGGTTGCAACCACTAGACCAGTAACAATACGCTCTCTGACATATTTCAATAACCTACGAGGAGACAATAGTCGTAAAATAGCAATGAACGAGAGAGCTTGGAAGCTCAGGGCCCTACGCTATGTTTTTTGCCTAGCTCATCATGCATGTTATTAGAACTGCCCCTCATGATCGGATTTTCTGGCCTTTTTGTAGTAATACATTGACCTGCTGAGCCAATGAGGTAAAATTGTATTCCATACAATACGATACAATACAATAATACAATAATTTCCTTGCCTTGATAGTGTGCTTGTGCTTAACTGTTGCTGACGGCCGAATGCACGGTTGCCTGTGGAGCACATTACATAACTTTACAGTCTCCTATAATACGCATCCTATATCCTGTCCGACGGCAAAAGAGGCTGCGGATTTAGCTTTTCTGCACGTTATCAGCAATGACTACTGATCTTCAGCAACTTGGGTCTCCTATAATACGCATCCTGTCTATGCTTTTGTAATGCTAACATAATGCTGGGGATAGCACTCGCTACTGATCTTCAGAAGCTTGGCCTGACTCTCACTCACAATAAGACTTGTTATGTTCATCGTTCCCGAGCGGTCGCTGGTTTCTCACACAATTTCATCGTACTGCTGTACAACATGCTTTACGACACCCTTATACCGTACAACACCGTATTGATGTCTTTGATGGCACGGTACGAGATAGCGCCAGGCATGCCGATGACACAAACAAACAAACACGGAATTGAAGCTGTGTGGACCCTGGCTAGCGCCAGACGTCACTGAAGTAACGTCTTTTGCATAGCTACGGGAATAAAACTGATTGTGCACTCATAACCATTTTAATAATAATTATTGTTTTATACATGTACATGGTTATGAGTGCACAATTTATTTTATTCATTGCTATCTCTGACATCTCCGTGGTATTAGATGTGGTTTGTTTGTAGTATCTGTGTAACAAATTACATACTATTTAAAAAAAAAAGTGTGAACAGGCCTCTTTCACGGGCAAAACACAATAAAAAGCCTTCCTTACGGTATTTTTTGCGAGAAAAAGACAGTGATAAAGGACCATCAGTGAAAAGGTATAATAGAATTAGAACTGGAGAAAAAGGAAGGAAAAGGTTATAGATGGGAGAGCCACAGAAAGAGAGGAAACCCAGAAAAATAGAATGAGACCATGACTCAGTGACCGATTCCAACGCCGGCACTGTCATGTACGGACTATGGGATCATCATACGTTTTACCTTGCTCCTGACTCTGGGGGTTTACTTGCGAAGCAGGAGAACTTGTACCCACGATAGGTTGGACGTTTTCTGCTGTTTCGTTTCTAACATTGGCATGGATCCTTTAAAAGTAACAGTGTAGTTCACACTGCTCACACTGCTCACACACTGCTCACACTGCTCACACACTGCTCACACACTGCTCACACACTGCTCACACACTGCTCACACACTGCTCACACACTGCTCACACTGCTCACACTCACTCAAACTTGTTATGCTCTGCTGGGCTTATTGAGAATGCATCGGGGCAATGACCCTTTTCAGTAAGCAGCGTGAATTGTAGCTCGCTTGAAGAATGTACTGTCATAGAACTATGTGGGACAAGGCTTAGGATACGCGTGTCCACACACGTCCTTTCGTGCACACCCTCTCCAGAGTGTACCATTCCCGACTGGTGGCCGACACTGCACACAACCGAACACATCCACCATGGTGTGTGAAATGGCATGATCACATGACGTGCCTTCCCTTCGCATGCAGCTTGCCTTTGTATTCACTTACCTTCTGCAAGAGGGTGCTGACCATTTCCTTTGAAGGATGATAATCAGCTATAGGACATTGCACTGGATTTACAGAAATCAAAGGATACACCAAGCTGCAAGTCAGACTGATGCCCTGTAGTAATGGCATGCAGTTCCAGGATCGTAGGTATTTTCTGGAGTTTTTGCAGGGAATGTAAACTGGTTCTATCGAGCCTTGGCCTTCCCTGAAGCCAGACTGCTACATCTGTTGTTGGTGTTGTTGTGTCTCTCATCTACTAAGTGTCCCAAGTGGTAGAATGTGATGCCCGCTGGCAGGGCAAGAGAATACTAGTACATGTAACTACTTCAAGTAGTACGCGCCATTGCCTGACTTGGGACAAGTGCCACATCTCATTTGTTGCATCCACACCCTCATACACATCCATGTTATTATCTCATCCTGGATCCATATTAGACCCTCATGCCATGTCACAAGTTCCCAACCAATTTTGGTAGCAACATAATTGGTTCATTCTTTCATGTCCAAACCATACCTGAATCCGATTCCATGATCTGATTTTCAATCACGATTTTGGACCATCCCACTATTCCGGTTTACGAAAGTTAGTACATCTTTGAAAGTAGGGGTAATTTAAAAATAATTATACCATTACCATGCGCGGACTTATGGTCAGTCCAGTGCTTTTCATTTTTGTGGAAACCACAGGTTGCGGGTTTGAGCCTCATGCGAGTCGATTGACATGCACTAAGCCATGTATGACGACAAAGTTACACCACGCGAGGCACTGCCTATTTGATCACCGATATTAAACTCACATCTCTTTTCGCACCTTACCATGTCGGGTGTGAATGTTTGGTCTGGGTCCAGCAGGCAGGCTTGTCGTCCTCAATATGCGGCCATTCTTGTTGATTGGTTCGAATGCTGATCTGGGTGAAGTACCCATGCCGGATGTAGTTTCGTCTTCATTTTCACTATTTGTACTTGTGTCACGCGGTGGCTGAATTGGATTGAATACTGCCGTGTTGTCCTCCGGGGCTTTGATAACAACACTACTGCTGCCTTCTTCATGCGGCGTGTCTGCTGACGCTGTACTCACTACTGCTGATGCTACTGCTGCGGTGGTGATGGTCATGGCGGTGTCCTCTTCAACTCTCCTGGTAGGGGGAGGAGGCGGCGGTGAGGCTGAGTCACAATCGTCATCCATCATTGTCTTCCTTTGCCGCTTCACCTCCTTTGGTGTTTTCTTGTGGACCACGCTGTACTCTCCACGGGCGAAGGCACCATTAACCTTTGCGGGCAGAGTGTGAAGCTTTGACATATCCTTGGCCGACGGCATTTCGTTGATCTTTCCGTTTGAGATTGAGGTACCTCGCCGTGCCGGGTATGTTATCTGTACAGCTTGTGTGCGATTCGGGCTCAGCTGGTCCTGCGGATCGGGGTACAGTTCGGCATAGTACGGCTCGTTGGGTTTCTTCTTGGCATGGTTTTTGTCTCCGAGTTGGTGCGCTGTGCTGACCTTGATGTGCTTAGGTATGTTTGGGCTGGATGGGTATTGCTGCTGCTGGTAACTGCGTTCCCTGGCCTGCAGCGTGCTGGCCGAGGATTTCGGCGTACTACCGGCGACTGAAGATCCCTTGGGCGGCATCTCGGGACCAGTTGTGGGGCTGCTGTGCACAAGCAAGACAATGTTACACATGCATGTGGTGTTAGAATGACAGCGGTGACAGAGTAGTGTGTTTCATTTGCATTGCATGTTGGCGTTGGGCTGATAGATCTGTTGTGAATAGCTGTAAGTATACCAACAACACACGGGTAGGAGTTGTCGCTACAATAGTGCTTGATGCACGCTTCGTGAAGAGCACTTCACACGCTGGGAGCAGAGAAAGCAAAGTTCTTCGTGTGATTTCGAGCTTCACATTAACACTAACAAGACTTACGGTGCTTCAGCCTGATCAGCCATCAGCCTGATCAGCCTGATCAGCCTGATCAGGCTGATGGCTGATCAGCCTGATCAGCCATCAATAACAGTTACTGTTAGGTGAGGATTGCCTGAGCTGAGCGGGAAACTCAGAGTCCCACAAGTATTTTGGTTCTCTTTGTGTGTTCCCAGTGTTCATTTGCCTACCTAGATACTTACTTTGAGGTAGGCCCTGGTGCTCCATGTCCCATGAGCTGTGGACTCCAGTTGAAAGACAAGTGCTCCCCACTCGGTGGATAAGGTCGACCCGACGCCCTGGTGGGCAGGCTTCGACTCCTCCAGCCAGCTTTGCTCTCCTTGGAGGCTTGTTGTTGTTGCTGCAGTTGTTGTTGCTGTTGCTGCTGTTGTGACTGCTGTTGAACGGTAATGGGTGAAGCAGCGATGGCTTTTGCAGCCCTTTCTCTGCTATCCGTATAGATGTGTTGCTGTGCAGTTTTCTTTGTCTGGAAAAGATGTAAACAGAATAGCTGAAACGTTACTTGTGGATCCAATTACAGTGGAGTCTGATAATAAACATCAAGAGTGCATAAACAAGAGTATGCAACTATGGTCATGGGTCAGTGCGCGGCGCACTGCCTTCATTACGTAACTTGCCTTCATCACGCTCTGAAAGCATGCATTCAAACTCACAATTTATCGTACGAGCCCATCCGTTTTTGCTTGATTCGTTCCAGTACCTACGCGATCTCTAAATTCTGGCGCATGAACTCCAGTTCCGTACGAAAGTTCATTTCAAACCAGAGGGAAAGTGCCGTGTTTGATTTTCCGCAGTGCGCGGACTGCAGCTGAATGCTGTAATGAAGGCAGCGCGCCGCGCATCTGGCCCATAGAAACGAGATCACAGTTGCATACTCTTGTTTATGGACTCTTGTAAACATGCACTGGTGGTAAGTCTGGGGGAATGTCTTGAAGCTTGAGTTCATGTTCGCTGTGCATATTACTTATCTCCACTAAACAAAATTGTCCAATTTGTTTCAAACGTGTCAGGATTGTGCAAGTTCGATGCAACCAGATGACTGCGGGCATATTATCAAAACACAGCCTGGCTATGCTTGCAATGCATCTATGGCCAGAATAAAGAAGGCAAGGGGCTGCTTTCAAGTGATGACGTCTGCATCCGGCTCACCTTCATGGTTTGAAGACGTTCTTCAATTGGGGACAATGTTGCATGGGCCTCCAGATTGTCCATTGGCATGGCATTCTTCTTGTTCAGCAAGAAGCCTGCTGGGCTGAGTTTCTAAACAGTTGACAGAGAAGCAGCCAGTTAGCCATCAACAATAAGTATACTGGTGAGTGGCGCGCATGATCCTGCTCATGCCCATGCTCCTATGATGTGAAGGGCAGACTACTCAGTGGAACAGGGATCACTTTTAATGATCTTGCAGCCAACACCAGATTGAGTGTTAGAACTTGTTTTTGTGAAGCCATGGTCACATCAAGCAAACCCTGTTCACATTGTGCTGAATGGAGCAGTCACACTACCGAGTGTCTTGAGGTTATCTATGGAAAAAGAGTGCTTTTTGATGGGAGTAGACCCAGTACTATACAATACTCCAGAAATGATAAAGCCCAAGTGTTCTGTGCTTTCAAAATGGCTGAAAGTGCCTGGAAGCCCCAAACTCAACCATTGCTATGGAAACACGAGCAATTTTTCCAGCTGAATCGATTTTGTGTGGCCGCAGCCAGACGCATCCCCATTGATGGGTGGAATTGAACATTGTCTTTTTGTGTGCTGAAGGAGAGCCATTCTTTCCAATCCCACAATGTGGCATGTACTTGGACGGCATCCACCATTCTCGTTGTCACACAATGAGAGTTGGTCACTTCCCAACGATTCAAACTCTTCGGCAAGGACTAAAAAATAGGGCTGAAACGATTATACCGAATAATCGAGAACTCGTTTGATAACTCTAACGATCGAGCAATCGTTTAGATTACCGATTACGATTATTTTGCGTTTTTTAAATTTGTGTCCAGAAAGTACTGTAAACCCTCGTTTTGTGAAGTTTGAATCAGTTTCCGCTGGGAGTATGCAGTTGCCAGGGGTATGGTTCGTGTTCTGAGGTTAAATTGACTTCAAAACTGCCATGTTTCGGAGCTACCCTTTCACTAATGCAGATTTGTTGGCATTATGAAGGCATAGTTTGTGGAAACAGAGTAATGTTTGCACAGAATTATGACTCTATTTGATAACGATTATAATCGATTACTCGATCGTTAAAGGGGAAGTTAAGGCAAAAATTAAAATTTCACCAGTTGTAGTCTTCGGGGTGCTGAGTCGAATGGTCTTGGTCCGAGAAAGCTGAGACGCTCCCTTCCTACTTGAATCCCAATCGAACTCGCGCACTTCCACCGAAACTGGGTGACTGCGCCCTACGAGATGGGGATTTGTATGCAAAATGTCACTAAAAGCGCCATTTCGTTCTTATAAAAGCACGGATGACCACGATTGGCCCATATGTTGTAGTCTTTTGGACGCTGAGTCGACTGGTTTTGGTCCGAAAAGGCTGCGATGCAGCGTTCCTCCTTTATTCCCAATCGAACATGGTTGAAGAAGCGGCCACGTGCTCCTGGGTGCCAAAATCACCTGGTCACCACGCCAGCAGGCGACAACTTTCACACCAAGGTTCGACTCGAGTGACAGGACTGCACTCAAAAAAGGTCAAAACAGGCTAGTAAGTTGTACCCTGCAGGCACGGTGACCAGGTGACTGGTGTACGCAGGAGCACGTGACCGCTTGTTCAACCATGTTCGATTGGGAATTAGGGGCGAACGCTGCATCGCAGCCTTTTCGGACCGAAACCAGTCGACTCAGCGTCCAAAAGACTACAACATATGGGCCAATCGCGGTCATCCGTGCTTTTATAAGAACGAAATGGCGCTTTTAGTGACATTTTGCATACAAATCCCCATCTCGTAGGGCGCAGTCACCCAGTTTCGGTGGAAGTGCGCGAGTTCGATTGGGATTCAAGTAGGAAGGGAGCGTCTCAGCTTTCTCGGACCAAGACCATTCGACTCAGCACCCCGAAGACTACAACTGGTGAAATTTTGACTTTTGCCTTAACTTCCCCTTTAAGCTAAAGAGTAATCGATACGTGAAAATCCACGATCGTTTCAGCCGTACTAAAAAAGTCTAAAACAAATATTGGTAGGATCCTTACCGATTTCTGTGACTCTTTTGGAGGTGGATTGCCGGTGCGCGGTTTAGATGATGTCTTTTGCGATGTTCCAGTTCTTGCCTGCATGTACATTGCAACGGCAATGTCAACAAACGCATGCAGCTGTGGACCATTAGTTCGGTTATTATTCACAATATGTTTAGAAGAGTATCTCTTTGTCATTGTTACTATAATCGAGTGGCACATTCGAACTACAATTCTACGAGCGCTAGTTTGAAATTACGTTAAGGATTTGAGCAATTGTTACGTACGTTGTACAGCAGGCACGAAACAATTTAAAATATTTACATACTCACCGGATTCGTTTCGGAGTCCCGCGCTGTGACTCAGCTAATTTCTATTTCGTTTGCCTTGTAATTGTATTGTCTGACAAGGGGCGCTCTCACCCCGTCGGGTGCGAGCACCCTTCGACAGAAGCACTTCCACTGAAAGACAAGTGTTCATTTTCGTTTTCCTCTTCTGCTTCTGTTTGCACAGTTTGAATGTGCTTTTTTTCGTACTCTCACGATCGAACCATGCGCGCGCAGCCGGCCGGGTCAATCTCCAAATTTTTATCTTCCGTTGCCATGACGTGACTAGCATTAGTAAGCGTTGTGTGGTCACTCGCTACTTGGCACGCTTGCAAGTATTACCAAGACTCAAAAAAGAGTGCATAAACTATTCATGGACTCTTGCAGTCTTGGTATTACTATTAGTATTAGTTGCAGCGCATCTTTCTTCTGTTGCAACCCAGTGCCTGGAGGATGTAAAGGCATGGAGGAGCCACTTGACGATGGCGTACGCAGAGACCAAGAAGGTCATCATTGAGATTATGGAAGCGGTAGTGGACAGTGACTCCAGGAGACATGCTGGTCTCCAGAAGCAGTCACAGTCACTTTTCTCGTATATCACTTCCTGTAAAACGTGCAGGTGCCTGTCGTGTGAATTGCCTATAAACAGCTGGAAGGCCATTATGCAGATGCCATGGAATTGGCAAGGAGTGTGCTGATCAGGAGCAGCAGAGCGAGCCTGGTTAAGGTAGCGTCGACCACTGAGGCAGACTCCCAAGCAATCGCCACTGAGACTGAGGGGCAACGCCGTCACTGGTGTCAGTGCACGAGGAAACGAGAGAAATTCGGGATCTGCGTGCGGCGCTCCAAGATGCACCGTTTCTTGGTCGCCAGGATGACACGCAGGTTATGTTGCCCAGGGCTGCAGATGATGGAGAACGGGTGAAAGTAGAGCCGGACAGTCGTTTTGTAATGGTCAGAGGTCAGCGTGTGGGGGAACCTGCCGAACCCTTCCCGACCGTTGCCATGACAACCGCACCAGCACACATGCCACCGCAAACGGACCCCATCAACAGCAACGCATGCACCGCTTTATCTGCAGCAGCCGCAGAGTACCAGCCACGCAGTTCAGTGTTGCCAATCGTACGTCTTTGCACGCTGTTCTGTGAGTAGCTCCTTGTTTTGCCTCTTTCAGAACAATAATCAATTTTCGTATTTTTGGTCACTGTGAATTTCGGCACAGTGAGAAGGGAGAGAAATTAGAAGAGTATCTCTTTGTCGCTGTTACTAAAATCGAGTGGCACATTCGAACTACAATTCTACGAGCGCTAGTTTGAAATTACGTTATGAATTTGAGCAATTGTTACGTACGTTGTACCGCAGGCACGAAACAATTAATATTTACATACTCACCGGATTCGTTTCAGAGTCCCGCGCTGTGACTCAGCTAATTTCTATTTCGTTTGCCTTGTATTGTCTGACTAGGGGCGTACCCTGTCGGGTGCGAGCACCCTTTGACAGAAGCACTTCCACTGAAAGACAAGTGTTCATTTTCGTTTTCCTCTTCTGCTTCTGTTGCACAGTTTGAATTTTCTTTTTTTTCTTTTTCTTTTTTTCGTACTCTGCTCACGATCGAACCATACGATCTCCATAATTGTATCTTCCGTTGCCATGACAAGCATTAGTACGCGTTGTGTACTCACTCGCTGCTTGGCACGCTTGCAGCGCATCTTTCTTCTGTTGCAACCCAGTGCCTGCGTGCACGGTACGGGATTTGCGAGGGCCATATCAGCGTTGGTGTGTCGTGCTTCGTTTTTGTTTTGTTCTTTGCTGAGTTGAGTGGTCGTTAAAAACTGAGAAAGAACGGGTCATTGACAGGGCGTGGTTTCGATGTGCATGCCCCCCCCCCCGTCATCCCAACTACAGCATAATGTACAAACAGAGGTTAGGGAACCTGCATAGTAACAGTTCAGTATGGACTTCTTGTGCTCGTCCAAGCCAAGCCTAGAAGACCGTGATGAAAGTACTATGTGTCAATGTTTTGGAAATGCACTATGTACTCGAATAGTGTGGCACATGTGTTTATAATTAGACACAAACGGCACAACGGAGGTGTACAGAATTGTCGCCACTCAGAGTTTCTTGCTCAATGCAATCATCAGGGGACTACTGTAATTTCACAAATTTTCGGTGTACTTTTATTTTCGGTACTTTCGGTGCGTCTGTTTCATACCTAAAATTTCAAAATACACCGAACAAACACTAACACACATAATACAATAGGGAACTGTTTCTCTGTACCGAAATTTTCTGTTCACCTAACCTAGCCTGTTGCCCTCATACCGAAAATATTGAGCACCGGAAATTTCTGAAATTAGAGTATGTTTATAATTATGTATGTGCATGGGAATCCAATCAAGAGTACAATAACCGCCAAGATTGTGCAACTGCCTGTACAAGACAACCTCCACCCAGTGCTGCAACGGCAGAACATGACATGGTTCAAAGAGGCTACGTTGGAAATCAATGCAAAGAGACCACCAGAGAGTCGAACCCAAAGCAGGATTGCGTAAAACCCTTTAAATTATAGTATAATAAACCTCCAGTCATTTGCGTGTTCTAAAAAGCAGTTAATATTTCTGGTTATCACTCATATAAAAAAACCTGGTGCTATAAAAACCTGGTACTGTAAAAAACTTGGTGCTATAAAAAACCACTTTTTAGGAAAATGACTGGAGGTATTTTATACTATAATTTAAATAGAGTATAAGCTCCGCCCTCGTGTTTACGGGAAAAAACCCTCGGCAAAAAACCTCGGCTTCGCCTCGGTTTTTTGCCCCGGGTTTTTATTTACCGTAAACACTCGGGACTCAGCTTATATTCTATACATAATTCTATCATGTATTGGATACATATAATGTACAAAGATGTGTCACATGATGTGAAGTTCTGCCGTCACAGACCCCATAGACCGGTGTCACACAATCTGGGGGGGGGGGGGGGGGGTATGTACTCTTCATGGAGTTCATCGCCGGGATTAGTACATTTTGGCAATGGAGCTCACGAGTAAACGAGAGGGCTTGGAAGCTCAGGGCCCTACGCTATGCTTTTTTTGCCTAGCTCATCATGCATGTTATTAGAACTGCACCTTCGCCTCTCTACTACTCTAGCACTGAGTTTGAGAGTGATAGAGAGCATTGGAACGGAGCAGTGAGCCTACACAATGAGCAAGTGAACAAGCAGCTGCTCCGATAGCACGGCGCAATAGCACGGCGCAATCAAAAAATTCTGAATTCAGGTTCTTGTTCAACCTGCACAAAGCCCAGATTCGAATGCTGATTGACCATGGATTCTTTCAGAAGTCCGCAGTCCGACGTGAGTCTCGTGGCTAAGGAAAGTTGTGTGAGTCTCGTGGCTAAGGAAAGTTGTGTGAGTCTCGTGGCTAAGGAAAGTTGTGTGAGTCTCGTGGCTAAGGAAAGTTGTGTGAGTCTCGTGGCTAAGGAAAGTTGTGTGAGTCTCGTGGCTAAGGAAAGTTGTGTGAGTCTCGTGGCTAAGGAAAGTTGTGTGAGTCTCGTGGCTAAGGAAAGTTGTGTGAGTCTCGTGGCTAAGGAAAGTTGTGTGAGTCTCGTGGCTAAGGAAAGTTGTGTGAGTCTCGTGGCTAAGGAAAGTTGTGTGAGTCTCGTGGCTAAGGAAAGTTGTGTGAGTCTCGTGGCTAAGGAAAGTTGTGTGAGTCTCGTGGCTAAGGAAAGTTGTGTGAGTCTCGTGGCTAAGGAAAGTTGTGTGAGTCTCGTGGCTAAGGAAAGTTGTGTGAGTCTCGTGGCTAAGGAAAGTTGTGTGAGTCTCGTGGCTAAGGAAAGTTGTGTGAGTCTCGTGGCTAAGGAAAGTTGTGTGAGTCTCGTGGCTAAGGAAAGTTGTGTGAGTCTCGTGGCTAAGGAAAGTTGTGTGAGTCTCGTGGCTAAGGAAAGTTGTGTGAGTCTCGTGGCTAAGGAAAGTTGTGTGAGTCTCGTGGCTAAGGAAAGTTGTGTGAGTCTCGTGGCTAAGGAAAGTTGTGTGAGTCTCGTGGCTAAGGAAAGTTGTGTGAGTCTCGTGGCTAAGGAAAGTTGTGTGAGTCTCGTGGCTAAGGAAAGTTGTGTGAGTCTCGTGGCTAAGGAAAGTTGTGTGAGTCTCGTGGCTAAGGAAAGTTGTGTGAGTCTCGTGGCTAAGGAAAGTTGTTCTAAGCGTTTTCATATATCCATCAAAATCCATCACGAAGTTTTGTGGACCCTTTCTAGCGCCAGACGTTACTGCACTATCGCCCTGCATGCATTCCCCCGGTACACTTCGCATACATATATTATGCCAGGCCTCTACAGTCTCTCATTTCATGGTGCTGACCGCTTTTTTTTAATGCTATACATACTGCTACTATACATACTCCTTCTCTTGATGGTACGGTACGGGACAGATACGGGATAGCGCCAGGCGTGACACAAACAAACAAACACGAAATTAAAGCTGTGTGGACCCTGGCTAGCGCCAGACGTTACTGAAGTAACGTCTTCTGCATAGCTACGGGAATAAAAGCACATTCTGGCCCAAAGGTTCAGCAAAACATGGTTTGTAGTAGAAACTTTGTACTGAAGTATACGATCAGTACGGTCCACTCTCTAAAAGTTGCACACTCAATCCTGCATGAGGAATGACTGCGAGGCTTATCGCAGGTGTGTGGCTTGCCTAAAAGTTACATACCGGTATGTAAAAACAGTTGTGCTGAGCTGCCAGGACTTTGCTCGATTCGCAGAGCACAGAGCGTGTCTGATTGCTTTGGCATGAAACTTAGAAAGTCACAGAAGGGTCCAACTGAACCTCTGTCTCACACAGATAATAATTATGGTGTGCAAGTATTTTCAAAAGTGTATGGCTTATGACCAGTAAACTGTATCCCAAACCCCATCAAACTACTTCTGAAGTATAGCCAATAGAGCCAGATCCACATTGAATCATAACGGGGTTTTTTCATTTTTTTGATTTGATTTGCTTGACCCTTCCGCTGACAAAAGTGCCTGTGGAGGGAATCTCAAGAGTCATGAAACATTATTTAAAATGTAAAGTTGAGAAGGGGAGAATGCTGCTGAAGCTCAACAATAGCAGTCCTGTCCTGGGTGTCAAGGTACATGTACATGTACTTACATCATCTTTGTTCTTTCCATCTGCACTGCTGCCGACGTGTCGGTCTAATGGATGGCAGGGATCAAAAGAGTGGCACAAGCCTTATAGCCAGAAGCATAAACTGAACGATATTGTCCTTGGTGGCGACTAACCTTTACTATATCAGTACCTGCATGTGGAACTCTGAATGAAATTCCATGGTATGTAGGTTTAGGTGGTAGGGTAGACATGTATGGTCGAGAAAGTACCCCAAATTGGAACCTTCATAAGAGTGCTATTACAGTATGGCATGGACACATTGTATTCTTGATACCAGCAAGGGCGTCGGAACCGCACCGGCCGGGGCGGCCATGGCCGCCCCACTTTTTCGGCCGTTTTTTTTTTTTTTTTTTTTTTTTTAGCACACTGCAACAAAGCGCGATGATCTCAGCGCAAACGTGGCAAATCCTTGTCCCCGATCGTGGTTTGTTGCAGAATCAAAAGGCCATATATATGGCCATGTACACTGAAATGGCACCAAATGCCTGGGAATGCTTGCAATTGGCTTCAATTTTTGAATTTTTTTCCCGGGGGAGGGTAATGTTTGTCCCCGATCGTAGCATCTTCTTGGTTTTTTGCAGAATCAAAAGTCTTTCATTGTAGTTACCGTACACTGAAATGGCACCAAATGCCCGGAAATGCTTGCAATTGGCTTTAATTTTTGAAATTTTTTCCCGGGGAAGGACCCCCGGACCCCCCTTCCATGGCCGCCCCACCTCCAAAGTCGTTCCCACGCGCCTGACCAGTACATGTGTCAGCATAGGTATGGCTAAGGCCAGTAAGGGGTCAGTCACTAAAGTAGTACAATGCATGACATGTACGTACGCATCGTCGGAGAATCTAGGAAACGTAAAAAAATGAAAAATAAAGCACAATTTCTGATGCCATGCACCCTATGTATGCACACAGGCGAGAACTGAGTGCCGCCTGGCATAGTCATTATCTCCTTGTTTACCCAATTGTAGCAATTGCTATTGCTTGTGAAGTATAATAAGCTCACCTCGTCCAGCATCTGCCCTGCTGAAGAATTGCTGTATGGGCTTCATTGTTGACGTGACTTCCTATACCAGCAATTCGCCAGCATTACAAAGAGAACGACAGAAGCCATCGACATCGTATGATCAATACAGGTCCCCCATCCAGAACTCAACAGAAGTTAGTTGGCATGCCGCTTGTGCGGACAACGAATAGCAGAAGCTGCACGCAGCTTAGTTTGCGGCGAAGCGCACCTCCTCATACTATGTTGTTGATTTTTATTTTACTAAGTCTTAGCCGTTTGTGTCTTTCCCTCAAACTAGTTAAGTCTTAGTATTCTACTTAGATGCTTCCTATGATATCAATGCTGGCAATGTACTACCCAATACCACGTTTGTGCTTACCGTGACAACACGGCAAATCGAACTAAGTTACTTTTTTAATAGTTAGTAACAGAATGATAGCTACTCTCGCTCGATGCAAATCGTCCCGTGGCTGATGTAACTCCGTCAGCATGCTTACCTCCGGTTTATCGATAGGTCGGCCAAGCTGATGAGAATGGCAGAGACGTAGCTTGTCCTCCAGGCTGCCACTCACCACGTCTGGAAAGCGAAGAAACCAAGCGTACACGAAAGGAACAGCGTCAACAATCCAAATGAAGCGCACACGTAAATTATTATTGTACTTTGACCCGACACAGTCACTGAGTCAGGTCGCTATTCCTACTGTACTACTACTGACGTCGACACTGTAGATCTACAGACAGTGTAGCACTAGCACTACTCCCGTTACTGCGTTAGCTTTGAAGGGCCTTCGACTTCCTCACCTGAAACTAACGTCGTTCAGCGGCGCTCGGAAGACAACATCCTACTCGGGGAAACTCCAACGGAGTCGGTGGATAATATTCCGTTGTAATCCCAGCCTCACCCGCTACTACAAATGTAACTAACTGTACGTTTGTCTACAACGTGCACTCGTGAGAATTTTCACTTTCAAGCCAAGTCTGCTGGGCGTTTGCTTTCGACCTCGGCGGTAGAAACCGAACCGAAGTAACAATCGTCATTACCTCCACGGCAAGAACCCTGGACTACGAACATGAGATCAGCCTCGCGCAGCCTGATGCACCGCCCGGGCTGCGGACAGCCAATTTCACAATTTCATTCATTACATTGCAACTCCCTGGACCACGGTGAATCGTCGATTTCCCTCGATATACAATGCCGTGCAATATTCCATTCAATGCAAGAGGAATATTTGAGTACAATGCCATTGTTAGATGTGGTGGTAGGTGTCTTCCGTCAGGATGGGCCACGGTCGCAGCGATAGTATCGTGTCACTGTCAGAATGCTCTAGATTGAATACTCTCTACAGATAGTGCCTCACACCTCAGCAGATATTCACGAATAGAATGTAGTCATAGTTCCCTTTTTAGTCATTATTACAATGGAGGTTGAGTACTGCAGTTGTCTTATGATTATGTACAATCATTTATGTTGCTTCGAAGCGAGTACACCGTAGATCTATGTACAATGTAGCATCAAGCGTATATGGAGGTTATAATAATACTCGAGTCTTGGTAGCATGTATCTTTGTTGAAAGCAAGGGTAGAAATTGGTAACAGTACTCAGTAGGAGAGATGGACAATTGATGTTTCTGTGATCTAGTCGTGCAGCCAAGTCGGGACAAGAGTCCAGCATGGCGAAGTACAGATGCATCGGAAGTGGCTTACCCTCTGCGGTCACCCCGTGCAGCGGCACACCACGACTATTCACGAAGTGCAGGCAGCGATGGATGGTGTCAATCTGCTTCAAATCTCTCAGCTGCTCTCGCGTCAAGACCGCTTGCTGCTGCTGTTGCTGCTGTGGGTGTTGTTGGTGTGTGTGACCTCCGGGGCCAGTGGCCACAGCGCTGCTTTCCTTGGCTTTCTCAGCAGCAGCAGCCGCAGCAGCAGCAGCTCTACTCCCACCAATGGATAGCATGGTGACAGGGTCACTGTACAACTACAAAGGTTCAGCAACTACTACTAAAATTACTAGAAACGTAGCCGTGTACCCTCGCGAAGTTTACCTAACGTTCTCTTCTAGCAAGGAAAATGCTCTGAGACCAGACATTCGCAGTGACAGACTACTGCCCAACAATGGCCCCTACAAGAAGCATGGACGAGGCAGCGAACTAACTTCAACCATTCACGGGTAACTAAGTCCACTGTGGATTTTGCCCGTCTTCACGTGCGCACTCAATACTCATCGGTTGTCGCTTGTGTCAGCAGTGCGCATGCAGTGTTGGGCTGACTGCCTCAGTGCCTGTCCATCTACCCCAGCTTCCCAGTCTCCTTCGTGTCGTGGCACAGCTACGTCTAACAGGTCTACCTTCCGTCGTCACACTTGTCTTCACTTGCTGTGGCTGAGTGTGGAATTACTGTATCTAGGTGAGGCGCAAAGCTGTGCAATCGTGTATCATACAACATTGCATCCAGCGACCATCTGTGCCTTGGATACGAACGCCTGCGATGCTGAGCTGCAGCGGCGAAGGAACAATGACAATGCTCAGGTTTTAGCAAGCCTACGCGGACTATTGCTGCAGCATGGTCGCTCTTGGCTACGGAATCAGGCCAGCAGGCCAAATCGGTGAAGCATCATCGCTCAGTGGTGATCTTGTGACGCTCTGATGGTTTATGTGACGTTCCCTGGCCGGTCGATCTTCCCTCAACAGCATACATCTACATCCTCACACAGCAGCTACAAGCCGACACCGACCTGAAAGGGCCGCTGGAAGGTCTTGTATCAACACTTCGAATTACTAGCAAGCCAAGTTCATAAAGGTACTAACGTTATTACGGTACAAATTGTAAACTGAAAATACTTCAAAAACACTGTTTCACTTTAAAAAAAGAAAAGAAAAAAGGACGGGGAAAGAATGAGCGTTGATGTGTTAGTTCGTGAAGAACACAAGAAATATCTTATTATGAGAGCTCGCGCGATTACTTGAAAGCATTGTTCCTTTTGATATCTCTGCCTACCTACTACTAGTACCACGGGCACAGAGGCACAGTGTAAAAAAGTAAAGTTCGCACGTCCGCGTTACCACCGGGTATGCAATGGTGCTGAGACTCAACCAGCTTGGGAGGTATCGCACTGTGTAGTGTAACTATAATGGAGGTGGTGGCAAACTGTTGCAGATGGGACTCTTGCCTTTCAACCAGAAACACGATGAACTTAGTGCAGGTCAATCAAGCATGGACGCGGAGTTCTTGTGACTTCTATTACTATCAGCCTGTGCCTTGACAGCCTGACGGATCATATCCATGGAACCTAGGGTGATCTTTGCCTGAAGGAACTAATCCATTAGCAAATGAATTTCAATTTACATGATCATGACTGCAGGCTTTCGCACTCGAACTGTAACGTTCCCATTCTGTGGCTGGGGTCTTCACAAGAAGATGTTGAAAGGGACTCAAAGCCCGGTTGTCATGTCATGAAGGCTAGTGATGTTGTGGTAATTCGTTTTCGTACATGTTTGTACACACGCCAAAGCACATGCGTATCGCGCTCGAGCAGCGCTAACACGCACCAAGTACATTGTAATAGTGTAGGCGTGGGGGTGCCATGGAGCCTAGCTAGCCTGGTATGGCTGTCAAGACAATACATCTGTCCCAGAAAAGCCAAATTCGAATAGGATATTATTATGTTGGTGATATCTGTGATGAACGGTGCGTGTTAAGACACAAGACAAGCAGCTTAAAACAACAAGTAGAACACGAGCGTTACTGGTGTGTTCGTTCCGGTAGCTACAAGACTGGCAATTATTTCGCTTACCGTCGAGACCAGGTTTTGCTTGAAAGAGGGCGTCCGCACCAGTAATCGCCTCTCAGGTATATACTTGTGTCACGGTGGCTTCGAGCGTGACCACAGAACACTATCAACACGTTCACCCAGTACATCGGCTGCTGGTGCTTGCTGCTTGTGTTGTGACGAAGACGACACGCAGTGAAGGATAATAACTGACGGGCTCAAGTATCTGCTCCAACTCCACGGCTCGTCTAGGCTATGACTTTCTAGGCTACCTTGTAACAGCTAAAGTTTGCCGTGACACAAGCTTCCCTGTAGTCGTTGCAGTGAGCTCCAGGTTCGATTAGTTGTTGTTCTACGGTCGACTGCTGACGAACTTGAGAGAGGCTCTAAGGACTACATGTACGTGGCCATCATGTACCATTCGACCGCTACAATTGTAAGGCTCTCAGACCAGTCACACGTTACTTGGTCACCTGCGATCAGCACTGTATGAAACTGCTAGTCGAACTGGTGTGTGTGTGTGTCGTATTGGAATTGCTCTAGAAGTGAGTGCCTACTGCCATGCCTGGTAACGCGTGACACTACAGTAATATACAGTCACAAGAAATACTCGTAACAAGATTGAATACTCGATCGCACCAGCCGTTCAGTACTTATTTAATAGTACACTGGATTTGCAACTTCCAAATAAACTCGAGGCATTGCAGGAGCGTAGATCTACCTAGAACGGCGGTGTAGGACGGTTCCTATACTTATCCTGTACTCGACCAGCTCATGTAATAGCACATGCAAAGCGTTCGTAGCACTCGTGTTGGCTCAGGCCAGGCTTTCTAAGATTAGTAAGATTCTACACCGCCTAGCACTGGCCAAGCCGCTGACACGTCTCTGGGTTGTGCCGAATTCGCTGCCTACATACATACATACATAGCTGTTACGGCAGCCCGTCACACTCACGGTTTCGGCCGCTAAGCCTGTCCCACGTGCAGTGATGTATGGTTTTCTTCGCTGCATTTGCAGGTAACTGGTTAGTGACTGTGTGTTATATACATGTACATGTACATGTATGGGTCAATCGTCGCTATCGCCAGTATCGGTGCTGTACCACAGAAGATAGGCCGCGTGCGGATGAGTTAAATTAACCATGGGAAAGCTTCACTAGGTGGCATGTCTATAGTACCAGTAATATACCCTTTCTCTCTCTCTGTATAGCGTGTACTGTCGCGTATAAGGCCAACTACCGTTATGCAATGTAGGTTATCTTGGCGCGGAGGGCTCATGAAGGTTTCTATTGCCAGTAATAATGCCAGTGTTAGTGACAATAGCGAGGCGATGACAAGCATACACTGTATGTGGCTAGTACACCTGCGAAACCTTGACCCTCGATTGCTCTGCTGGCGTCGCCATTTCCGGTGATGCGCCTGGAGGCGGGAGAGCCCCGTGGCGACTCGTGATTGTGCCCCGTCATGCTGGAAGTCATAGTTACCACGATCCTCACAGCTGTGCTAGGGCAGTAGGGGTCACAGACACAGGTGGATGAGAAGCCCTGAGACAAAGAGTTCAGCCAACTACAGAGCTTGCACCATCAGGGCTTGTACTGGTAATAGTGTATGATAGTACTAGTAGTACTAGTAGTAGTGCGCTACCTGGATGGCCTCGATTGTACATTGTACATTTGAGGCTGCATGTTGCTGCAGTAACCTCATTCAGAGCGCGGCGCAATATGCCCTTCTTTCACTTTCAATCTCGTGTGCACCACATGCTTCGTGGCGGTAGATGCGCGCGTGTGCAGCAAACTGGCCATCAGGGGTTTCTGCCGCGGCTGCTCGTTCTGAGGCACTGCTTGATGAGCCTGCAGTGCTGAACCTGTCGTATTCTGCTTTCAAGGAGGATCACATCCAGTCAAGCGTGTACTGAAGACATCGGCTATGTTTAGAGTCTGGAGTTGGTCTTATGTGCCCAGTTCCCCAATGCTCTATCCAACCATCACGCTCACGGAAGCCGTGTTGGCTGCGGAGAATAGCAACGCGGCAGGGTAATTCTGAGGATAGCCACATTTGTCAACTACCTACACTGGATCACCCGCCGTAACATCATTCAAGTCATATTATGTGGACACGGTACAGGAGTGGATAGGTACTTGGACATGCATCAGAGGGCATGGCCATGTTTTAATGTATTGCACTGAATGTACTGCGCCAATCTCTAAGCCTTGCTATAGCCTCCAGCCACCTACAGTGTACACGCGTATGCACCCACATAATCGTATGAAATGAATCCAGAATAGCACTCGCTTACCAGACAGAAACATGCTGATCATTGCCTCAACTAACGTTAGTCCCATCGCAACCGTCACAATACACTTCTATGCAGTTCTATGCTATAACGTTCCGAACAGTGCTCGTATAGTATAGGTTCACGCTGCGCGTTCTGCTGATATTGCTACTCGCACAGCACCGCTACAGCACACATCGCCTGCCAAAGTCGAACATCGACAAATACGGTGAAAGCGTGCGTACCCGGAACATAGCTACAGGACTTGATGATCAGAAGATGGCCACTCCAGGAGATACACAGCTCGCCATTTCCTGGTGGCCGGCTCGATTCACAATATGCTAGCTGTAGCTCCTGAACGTCACCCAGTAGCCAGTACCCAGTAGCCAGTGGGGATTGTGACGCTATGACCTAGCTAGCAAGTGGCTTTTTATGTAATGATTATGTAGACCTACGCGCCTGTGTGTGTGTGTGTGTGTGTGTGTGTGTGTGTGTGTGTGTGTGCGCGCGCGCGCGCGCGCGCGCGTTTCGTGTATGGACTTAGGCGTATCATGGACTGAGAGGTCTGTCATTCTACCCATGTCCGTATACGGACAGTATAGAACTTAGAATTCTTCCTCTGGTCACAGAGTGTGCAATACCCGCCTGATCTCGCCGAAGTGGAATTATACAGACAGCAGAACGAGGTGTTTAGCGCCAACTCAGATTTTCACAGAATATCAGTAATCCTCAGGCAACAATGCCATCACGTCCAGGCTGATCCAGTGGGTTACTGGCGCTATCCATTGTCCACTGGGGGGGGGGGGGGGGGGGCAGCGAACTCTGCATTATACAGAGAGTACTTTCGAAGACAAAGGCTAGCACGCAAACAGTTGATCACTGAGCGCATAAAGCGGACTAATCCTCTGTCTGCTGGAGGCGAGACGAAGCGCTGTCGCTACCGCCCAGCCACCCGAGGCTCTACGCCAAATCCGACCATATCAGAAGTTCACTAAATGCATTCGCCAGGTGCCCTACCAGCAACTTCTCAAAGACTTCGAGTTGGGGCGTCGCATCAGTGTAGTGCGTGGTTTAACCCCTCCATCTCTTTTTGGAAGAAAACATATTTTGCTCAAATCAGCTGCGAGTGCAGAGTGCCCCAACTTGCTTCTTGTTATGGGTATAATTTCGAAGAGCTAGCTGAGCAAATCTCTCGTCGTAGTTCATCATTTGTAGTTTCGTAAATATTTCGTCTTGTTTGAGAAACGGTTCGTAAGAGATTGTTTGCTAGTACACGTATTTCGAACTGGAGGCGGGGAACTCTACAGCAGGGATTACTCTCGAAGACAAAGGCTAGCACGCAAACAGTTGATCACTCAGCCTGTGAAGCGGTCTAATCCCTTTGCCCGCTGGAGGTGAGACGAAGCGCTACCGCTACCTAAGGCTCTACGCCAAATGACCATATCTGACCATATCAGACGTTTCTGTAAACACATTCGCCAAGTGCCCTACCAGCAACGTCTCAAAGACTTCAATTTAAAGCGGGGCGTCGCATCAGTGGAGTTCGTGTTAAAGGGGAAGTTAAGGCAAAAATCAAAATTTCACCAGTTGTAGTCTTCGGGGTGCTGAGTCGAATGGTCTTGGTCCGAGAAAGCTGAGACGCTCCCTTCCTACTTGAATCCCAATCGAACTCGCG